GCTAGACCAGGACCTGGAAGGCGTTCGGCAGTGGTGGTGGCGGCTCTGGGGTTATCTGTGCTCTGAATAGGCCTGTGTGGTATATTCTGAGCAGAGAGGGCCAGTGAGCACCCCGGACACAAATCTCTCCCTGAGAGGGCATCACAGTGCCAAAATTCCACCACGAGAGCACAGTTCCCTGTGACAAGAATACTAAGTCACATACCACAAGGGACTCTTCGTATTGAGAAACGGGCCCAGAGGGACCCAGACCAGGAAGGGCTGAAAGGAGAAGAGAAAGGCTGATGGAAGGAAATGGATGCCCACTCCAAAATGCATTGCTCTGGGCCCAGGCATCCGGAAGGAAGGCGTAGAGGAGAGAAGGGAGCCTAGGTGTGAAATCCTAAGATACGGGTAAGGACGCCCGCCACGACCACTGCGATGCTGTTTTTGCAATGTCAAGTGTCAAACCCTTTGGTCTCCCAGTCTTTCTTGAGGCCACATTTAGTCGGCTTCTTGGGTGAGTCAGCGCAGTACTTGTCTCCAGGAGGGGGAGCATGGGGGTGTGGCCCCTGTGCCCAGCCCCCAGCCCTCAGCTGGCTGCCACTCACGCCACTCACGTATCGCGAGTTCTCCCACTCCAGCGAGCCTTTGCCCTGCAGCTGGTGGAGCAGGGGCACCTCCCTCCGCTCCAGCCCCGTGATGGCCTGGGGCCCATGCTCCTGGGTGTCAAAATGGACCTTCCTGACCTGGGAGGAGGGAGTGTCAATTACCCTCCAGGCAGGCAAGGGATGGCAGTCACTTCCTGACCCTGATTCTGCCCTTGACCCTGACAGCGTAGCTCCACAGCAGCCAGGGGGTCCCTTTACAGTGAAGCCAGGTCACGACCCTCCTTGCTGAGAGCCCTGCGGCATTCCAGCTGCACTCACAGTGATCCCACGTCCTGACAGTGGCCCACAAGGACCTGGGCGGGCTCCTGACTCCACTCCAGCCATTTGCCGCCTTGCTGTCCCCCCTGACATCAGACACTCTGGCCCCAGGGCCTTTGCAGTTGCTGTTGACACTGCCTGGGACACTCTTTCCTCGGGTAGCTGCATCTGGAGGAACACTAGCCTCCCTCACGTCTCTGTCCAGTGTCTGCACAGCAAGCTGCCTCCCAGCTCCCGATCTGCAGTTGCGACTCCTTCACTTCTACTTGGTTCCCTACTTCTACCCCATCATATATCCCCCCAGTTCTTATCACCTTCAATATAAAAGAGATGTTTGCAATGTACTGGTTGGATGAATGAATGAGTATCCGTTCTGGTGGTGGTGGTGATAAGGATGATAGAAATGAAGAAGACGGGGTGATGGGACAACGGTGGCGGTGGTGGGGATGGCGGGGTGGGCTTGAGGATGGGGACGGCGTGGTGGAGATCATGGAGGTGGGGGTGCAACGGGGAGGGGATGGGACTGTAGATGCGGATGGTGGAGATGGGATGGCTATAGGGACAGGGAAGGAAACAGAGGGGAAGGTGATGGCGGGGACAGGGATGGGGACAGAGATGATGAGGGGGTTGAGATGGGGATGAAGGCACGGAGGATAAAAGTGGGTGGACCCCTGACCCGCACTGCAGCTACTGCCTGCCCTGTCATCTCCCCCTTGACCAACTGTTGGCAAGGCAGTCCCAGCCTGCTGGAGGGACCCCCACCCTACCCAACCCCCAATCCCTCCTCCACCCCAGCCTAGGGCTCCCTTCCTTCCTGGCTCTGGCCCAGCACTGACCTCCTTGGTGGGGGGTCCTGCGTTCGGCCTCTCGTGCGCGTAGCCAGAGCTGGTCTGGTGCATGTTCCAGGGCAGTGGGTACTTGCCATCAGGCACTTCCAAGGGCCGATAACTCTGACTGGTCACTGTCTGGAAATTGTCCCGAACTTGTTCCCTGAGGGTGGGGCAAGAGCTAGAGCTAGGACCACCAGGGCCACCTGCCTTTGTCCTTTAGGGGCTGCGTTGCTTAAGCCCAGAAGCTTCCCACCTCCCTCAGTCCTCCCACAGATGGCTTAGGAGTCTGCTGGCCTTTGGGCCCCAAGCTGGGCACTATGCCCAAAGTCACCCAGGACCCCAGTGCAGGCCCAGCAAGGCTCAGGCCCATGGAGCTTGGAGTCTGATGGGTGCTGATGCCCCTGAGGGCTGAGGCTCAGCAGGGCAAGGGGTGAGAAGGGGTCATATAGACCGTACCCCATGGCTGGGTTGTCCAGGGCATCCAGACTGGCTTGGTATGAGATCACAGGCCGGTAATTTGATTTGTAGCCTGTGCCTACATGACTGCCTGTGCGGGGCTTGAACTCCTCCCGACCTGCCAAAAGGGAAATGGGGAGAGAGACAGGACCATGGGTCAGCAGAGGTGGGGGAAGAGTGAGCAGGGGCTTCCCAGGCAGGGTCAGCGTCCCACCAAGGGGCCCAGGGGTCATCGTGACAGGGAAGGCTGAGAGCCACCAGCAGGAGTGAGTGTGATAGGAGCTGGGCAAGCCTGGCCCCTCAGGACTGAGACAGAGGAAATGGAGTCCATGGGGTGGGGACGAGGTCAGTGTGGCAGAGTCAGAGTGACCAAACCAGGGAGGGGCAGCCAGACAGGCCAGCCTGACAGTGCGGGTCCTCAGGGAAAGGACCGATTCCATGCAATGGGGTCCCTTTGCAGTGTGACCGACCAGAGGGGCTGCTCCTCTCCCTTCCCACCAGTGTCCTGGAGGTAGCGCTGGCACAAAGGGGCCCTCACCGTAGGCTGTGCAGTAGCTGGTGGCGTAGAACTTCAGGGGGTCCGTACAGCCCCCCGAACTCATCTTCACATAAGGGGAGACCACCCCCAGGGGGAGTTTCCCCATCATGATGCCGCGGGGCAGGCCCCCGAGGGCCTGGGGAGCAAGCAGAAGAAGCCTCGTCAGTTCCAAGCCCAGGCTCAGAAGACCACAGTCGTGACCATCGCCCCCACAGCCGTCCCTTCTCCCAGGCCTCAGTCCCTCTGTCCTGACAGTCATACCCCCAAACCGAGGAAAATGTCCATCAACACTTATCTCATGGCTTCCTGTGTCTCATTTCACCTTCTCAACACCTGACTATTAACTCACATCCCCACTTTACAGCTGGTAAACCGAGGTTTCAAGGGATGAAGGGTTTGCTCATAAGAGGCGGGACAGCTGGGATTCAGACCTAAGGTATCTGACTCCTGGCTCCTGATCTAACCACCACACACCCTCCTCTAGGGGAATGGGTGGCCCAGCAACCTACCACCTGGGGAACTCTTGGCCACTCAGCTCCGACGTGCACTCCCCGCCCCAAGCTCCACCTTGCCTTGTCCACCTCCCGCTGAAAGTTGGCTGTGCTCTCCTGGGGCCCAAGCGCAGCTGGTCCCACCCTCACCTGCCCTCCGCAGTGGCTCTGAGGTGGGTGAGAGGCTGCAGGAAGCAGGAGCTGCTCCAGACAAGCAGGGGACCGTCCCCGAGGTGGCCAAGCCTGGAGAAACAGTGCGTTGCCTAGCAACCGGCACTTAGCAACAGCGTCCCCACACCTCTGAAGCCCTTCTAGAGCCAGGGCCCACCGAGGGGCTGACCTGGCCAGGAGGGGAGGGCCAAGAGCTGCCCAGGCAAGGCCCTAGCTCCACGGCTCCGATCCCCATCCTGTCTCCTTCCACAGGGCCAGGAAGAGTCGCCATCTGAGTGACATGAAATAAAAGATAATCCCTAACAATCACTCCCATTTATTGAGTGCCCACTTTTCCACCAGACACTTTACATCCTTTATCTCCATCCTCTGAGCAGCTCTTCCAGGAAGCTATTATTATTCCTAGTTTCACATGGGGAACATGAGGCTTGGACAAGCAACGTGACTTGACTGGCCGGAGACCTCGCCATCAGAAAACAGCCGAGTTGAGATTCAAACGTGGGTGGATCCAGATCCCACTCCTATGCCTCTTGGTAAATTAATGTTTATGATATTCTGCTAGAGCCAAATCTGTGCTGAGCCCTTTTACACACATTATCTCGTACAATGCCCCAAACCACCCTGCGAACTGGGTACTATTATCACAATGCCAATAAACCTTAGTGGTTAAAAGTGTGGCTCAAAAAAAAAAGAAAGAAAGAAAAAGAAAAGAAACAACAGAAAAAAAAAAGCGTGGCTCACATTTGATCTGTCACCTTTGATGAGGTACCTGTTGTCCTCTTAATGCCCCTGTCTCCCCATCTTAACCGAGGATGTAAGTGCATGCACCTCACAGGGCTGCTGGCAGCTTTAATGAGAGCATGGATTCAGCACCTGGCAGAGAGTAGATGCTCAGGTTTTAAAGCTGCTGTTCTCTAGCCTTACTTTACAAGCAGGAAGGGTGAGGCTCACGGGCAAAGAGCCCAGGCCACTCAATGGATGGAGGCAGAGCTCGGACTCAAATCCGAGTGAGCCAGCTCCATAGTCTAGTCCTTCTGTGACAGCCCCTCTGGCTCAAGTTGCCTTGCAGTCTCCTAATACTACAACGGTTGGATCTGGGAAGGGGGGGTGGAGCCCTGATTTGTAGCATTTGCCAATTTCTGTGGTGTAAATACTCTCATCACACTACTTGCAAACTACCAGCGCAATTTCACTGAACAGGGACTTGAGAAGTCACCTACCACACTACATGGTATTTCCATCATGCAGATATGATAGACGTAAGTGACCTAGAGAGCACAAATAACAGAAAAATGCACAAAATAATTAGCAGCTGAGTTTTAAGTATGTATTATCTTTGTTTAAATATAATTTATTTAACTGTAAGTTTACGCAATTTAATTTTTAACAATAGCAGAGTTTAACAACCAATGCCTCCAGGCTGGTATGAGCAGCCTCCAGTGCACCCCTGCTGTTAAGGGACAGTGAGGTATGAATGAAAGGAAAGGTGCTGCCCTCACCTGGGAGGTGCCCTCACCGCACCCACTCTACAGTGACCCCAGGGAGGAGCCTGGTGGCCACAATTGACCCCCCACAGAGAGGCCCTGAGACTCAGAGGTGACTAAGACCTAGAGAGGGCCACGGAGGAAGCAGAAGGGTGTTAGGCACCAACCCTTCAGAGTAACAGCTCTGTTCAGGGATCAGAGGCTGCGAGGACATGGGAGTATATGCACACACCTGGTCTACTGACGGCGGCTCACGGGACCTCCACTCATGAGACACGGGAAGGGTGAGACCACCATAGTGGGGTGGTCGCTCAGGGCAAAGGGAGAGAGTGGCCCTCCTCAAAGTGTGTCTGGAGGAGTGGTTACGAGCAAGCGCTCACGACTCTGGAGCCAGATGTGGGCCCTGGCTCTACCACGAAATAACTGTAAGACTTGGTGCATGTTACTTGTGCCTTGGTTTCTCCTTCTGGAGAATGGGGGTAATAACGGTACCTACCTGTGGGGTTGTGATCCACATGAAGCACTTAGCCCAGTACCTGGTGCATGGTAAGTGCCTTCTAAGAGATAGGGAAAATCCCTGAAAAGAGGTGCCTTTTGCGTATTCACTGCCTGCTAGGCAGAGGGTTGGGCCCAAGGGTCATAAACAGGAATTCCACACGGCCCTGCTCTCAGGGAGCCCACAGTTCAGGGGGAAATTCAGACATAGCCAGTGTGATTCAGTGAGAGAAAGCTCAATTTGGAAGCCTGAGCT